AAGGTGGCGGGGCATTAGCGGGACAGGGGATCAAGGGGCGGGTCTCGGGGTGGGGTGGGGGCACGACAGGAGAATCGAGGGACCCGTCGCGGGTGCGGGAAAGGGGCTCAAGGGGAGGGACAGGGACTCAAGGGGCCACACAGGGGCTCAAGGGGCGGGTCTCGGAGGACCTGGCAGGGACAGGACAGAGGCTTAAGGGGCAGAGTGGGGTCTGAGGGTCAAAGATACATTTACTGAGTTTCAGAGCAGTTTACCCTGCTCAGGCCCCAGGAGGCCTGCCTGACTCCAACGGTGGAGGACTCTGTGCTGTTCTGGGTTCTTGGCTGACCGGTCCACCCGGTGACAGTTGACACCTCAACTGCAGACGTCAGGCAGCACTCACTTCTCTGAGCCTCCTCTTCAAACCGAGGACTGGCTGCCAGCAGCTGACAGTTGGGCAGGAGGGGTGTGTAAACATCCTGCTTCTTGCACAAGGTGATCTGAGGCCGTGTGAGACAGCGGAGCAAGGCTGAAACCCAAATGCCTTTTTACAACAGGTCTGGGAATTGCCCTCCATGATGTTCACACAGGTCAGCCCTGTCCTTTGAAGGAGAGAAGGTACAAGGACGTGGGTGGCAGAGGTGGATTTCGGGGGCCATCTTGGAGGCTGGCGGCCATGCTAGGAATTTGGTCTGTTGCTGAATGGGGAGGAAGAGGGTACAGACCAATCTCCCCTCACCTTGAATTGCTCAGCCTTCCAAGAGAGTTCCGGGCTAGTCCTGGTGGAAGTGGATGTGACCACCACCTGGGTCCCACTCCCCACTGTATTTCAGCTCCAGTTTCTCTGCCAGCATCACTCCGTAGCTCTGCCCCTGTCCCATGGCCCCGGGCTTCCAAGCCACAGACTATTTACAGTCTTCTGTCCAAAGGGGAGGAGTGCACAGGGAAGGGAAACAAAAGCATGGACTCACACCTTCTTTTAAAAATGCATTAAAAAAATAATAGTGGGTATTTAGTATTGAAATGCACATGGTTTATGTAGACTCTTCATAAGCCTGGCACAGGGACAGGGACGGGGACAGGTGGGTCATTGCTGCAGGTGGTGCGTGGGGTTTGGGTGTCCTCCTGGGTGGCCTACACTCCTCTATGTCTCCTCTAAGGGGTGGGGGGCTGAAATTCAGCCTCCCTGAGCCCATCGTAGCAGGAACAGGACTGAGAGGGCTCAGGTCTCCCCGGGAAGTGGCGGTAATTCATGTGAGAGAGGGTGTGATGGGGGCCTCACTGACTGTGGTGCTTTCTCTCTGTTTGAATTCGGTTCTGGTCCCAAGGAAACCGTGGCCCCATGGAGCTGACAGCGCCCTCACTCCCCCAGTGGCATGTGGCTGCCCTGTTCTGCCTGAGACTTGCTGGACTCCCACCCACTGCGTCCATGGTGATCTGGGCCCCTGGGCCCCTGTGGACATTATCTGTGAATGGGTGGCCAGGAATGACCAAACTGTGCACGTCTGCTCTGCTTGTAGCAGTGTCCCATCAGACTTCAGTAACAAACGTAATTTTAAAGACACAATAACTAAGAATTTTGAGGGCCGGCAGAGTGGTGCATTGGTTAGGAGTTGGCTTGGGACACCAGCTCTGAGCAGCAGGGCCCCAGTTCGAATCCCAAATGAGGGCCAATGACACTGCCCTCTACAGCTAAGATGCTGAACAACAGTTCGACCTGGAGCTGGGCTGCCATGAGTTTCCGGCGACGGCATAGGCTGCAGTGAGGCTGCAGTGGGCTGCCCTGAGCTACCGTGAATGTCTGGCAGCCGGCATGAGCTGCCAAGAGCCACCGTACGTGGCCGTCCAGTACCCTGCGAGCGACTGCCTCACCTGGGAAGAGCGCAATGATAATACCAACATGGGCCAGTGAAGCGACGTCCTCCACAACTAGACTGAACAAAACGACAGCAACTTGTCTGTTCCCCTTCCCTGGTTCCCCAATAAAATCTTCAAAAAAAAGAAAGAATTTCAAGGTGGTGACAAGTGCATTAAACACTGCGGGGCCAGGTACAAGGTAGTTGTGTTACAGAAGCTGCTGTGTGGTGGGCCACACAGGTGACGCATGCAAGGCCTCAGAGACCCACTTACAGTGGGACCAATTTCTGCAGGTGCTGTCCCCAGTCAGTTCTCAGCAGGGCCTGCGAGTACCTTGTCTTGGCTTATTCTCAGTACTGTGTGCCTGGGCCCAGGGATGCTCTCAGGCTGCCAGGCTCAGTGGGAAGGGCAGTGTCCCGGAGGGAGGTGCCCCCTGACCCCACGCCTCCTTCTCAGGGCAGCCGAGTCTATGCAGAGAAAAGTGTAACTGCCCAACCTGTGAATCTGTCTCCCAGGCCCAAACCCTCTCCTTATGTTCCTATGTCCAGCACGAAGACCCAGAAGATGTGGGCACTGACAAGTATTTAGGTACAGACGCATGTTCTCAGCCATCCTCTGAGCCAGATTCTGCCTGTGCTGACTCAGCTGTGATGGGAGCCTACAAGGACGGGGTCACCATTCCCATACATAGGTTAGAAAACAGGCACAGAGAAGCTGAGCGTCTTGCCCTAGGTCACACAGCTGGTGAGGGAAGAGCTGAGTCAAACCCAATATGGTCTAATCTGGAGTCCACATGCTTCGCACCATGAGATGCTGACCCTCAAGGGACAGCACGGAAAGGTTGAGGGAGACCAAGTGCGCAGACAGAGCCAGGTACACACACACACACACGCACACGTCCCTGCCTGGCTTTCACCTCTGAGGCTGCAGAGGTTTAGGAAAGCAGGAGAGGAACCAAGAGAAGGAAGCCAAGGGAGGAGGTGGGGCCTCTTAGGAGAAAAGGACACACTTCCGAGGAGTCCAGGGAATGCCCTTCCCCTGTGAGTCTGCCTCAAACCCCAGATTTCTCTCCCTGGGCAGTTAACTACAGTGACTCCTGACTCATGCCGTTCCAGGGTTGAGCTCCTGTGGCTGAGCATGTGAGTTCTCTGTGGCCCTCCTGGACACCTCTGCTTTCAGGAGTGAGAGGGGAATGAAGTGCGTGGCCCTGAGATTTGTATGGAGACAAAATTTATTAGAACAGGAGGCCAAAGAAACCATGGAGGAGATTGTTGTAACATCCACATAGCACTTAAGCAGCTATTTATCTATCTCATCTCTCGTCAGGAAAGTGGAGGATTTGTTTAACCAGTTATCTGTGTCCTCATTACACTCTTGGGGGGTAAGGGGTCAGAAGATTCCCTCTGAAGCCCCCTCAGGCTGGGGTATCAAGTGTGTGGTGGCTACATTTGTCCTGTGGCTGTTGACATGCGATTTAACGCTAATGACTCACTCATACTCACTAGCAAACATAGCGCTTCTCCGCTAAGTGTGTCCTCTGGTGTGTGATGAGACGTGACTTATCACTGAAGCCTCACCCACACTTCCTGCAAACATAGGGCTTCTCCCCTGAGTGTGTCCTCTTGTGTCTGAGGAGATTTGAGTTTACACTGAAGCCTCACCCACACTCCCCACAAACATAGGGCTTCTCCCCTGAGTGTGTCCTCTTGTGTCTGAGGAGATCTGAGTTTACACTGAAGCCTCGCCCACACTCCCCGCAAACATAGGGCTTCTCCCCTGAGTGTGTCCCCTGGTGCTGAATGAGATGTGACCCATCAAGAAAGTCTTGCTTGACGCTTACAGCTCTTGACATTCCTACTCCCACAGATAATTTGCCTGTGTCCTCTGGGTTCACCTTCTGGCCTGTGCTGGGCTCTCCCTCCATCATTCTCTCACGCTCCCTGCAGCCCCCCATTTGTCCATTGGGTGGTTCGGAAAAGGCCCTTGGAATCCTCCTCTGCCTGATCACTTTGAGCAAAGGTTTGCACCTTTCTTTGACCTCTTGACCTTCAGCTTTGTCATTCCAGCTGTGTGGGTTGGTCCCTTGCTGCTGCTGACTGAGATTCTCTGGGCAGGGTTCCTCTGATTTTAGGTGTTTTCTTGCTGATGTTCCTGGAAGGACCTGAGAGGGGTGACTGCGGTCCACATGCTGGCTGAGGAGTTTCTGCCTGGAGAAGGCCACAGAGCAGGAGGAACAAGGATAGATCTTTGATTTTTTTCCTGCCAAAAGAGAAAGTTTGAGTCAGGGCAGGTGTTGACAAGGCTGCCTGGGCCATATACTCTGTGTCCTGCTGAGACTGGCCCCACTGGCCATTCTCCGTGTGTTGACAAGACAAGCTCTGTCTCCCACAAAGTGTTGCTTTACAGTCTATTTTTTTCATTCCATTTTTTATGCACTACATCTTCAGAAATCCAGAAAGCCCCTATCAAGGGCCTTTTCAACACACTGCCCAGAGTAGGGACTTTCAAGAAGCATCAGAGGCAGTTTCAGTCCTTATATAGATGGCACTGCACTGACCTTTCCCCATAGACTTCTCTTGTAAGTCACATTAAAGAGAAAAACCACAGGCCCCAAACAGTGCCACTCATGCTAAAAGCCCATGAAACCAAACCTAGATTTAATACCTGATCTAACTGCAGTCTCAGCCTCTCCCAGACACCTACTTCATCAACCATTCTGGAGTTTTCTGGTCAATACCATTAAAGGTTGTCTGTAGACCCTCTCCATCCCTCCCCCATAGGAAGAAGAGGCAATCTGCCTGATAAAAACTCTTCCCCCAAAGATGTCTCTGCTCACACATAATCCTTTCTTTTGTTAATAGCTCCCTTGCCCACCCTTCTTCATATAAAAACCGTCCATCGTGTACAATCCTTTGGGGCGCCCTGGTAGTTGCTACATGGGTTTCTGCTGACTCATGAATAAAGCCAATTAGAACCTCAAATGTACTTGTCTGAATTTAGTCTTTTAAAAAGTATATCACATGACACAGTGTCAGCAGCTATTTTACTCTGTTGAGAGCTGAGAACACTCTTGATGACTTAGGTGGAATTGTCCTCAGTGACGTCCTACATGGGGAAGGGATCTGTGACGTCAGGAGACACCCAGCCTGGGGACCCACAAATGTGGAGGGAGGATAGAGTCATGGTTACAGGGAGCATCTGCGTTGCCCTGAATCTGAGTCTCCCATTTGAAAAGGATGAGGATGCCTATGGGTCTGGGTCTCCATTGGGAAGTGAGACACAGACTGGACAAGACAAAGTGCCTAGGTCCCATTGACTGTAAACGGATTTTAATCTGAAATGCAGCTGGGGGATAAAAAAAGGAGAACAAACATAAAAAATATCAAAATTGTTCCTAAGAGTCAAAGGTGTATGAAATCAATCCTTCATTTCTGAAGCATCTGATTTGAAATTCTACTGACTTTAGACTGGATTGTACCCTACAAGTTAGGCCAGGGGCATTTCCAAGAACCCTTTCTTTTCTTGCCATTTTGAAGAAGAGCCAAGCTGCCCACCTGTTCTTGCCCTGAGCTTTTGCTTCCACTTGCGGCCCAACTTGATGTCCAGCTCCTGGCCATACTTGTCCCCGTACCAGACCATCAGTTCATAGCCTGGCTTGACGACCTGGCAGGTTTGGTAGAAAATCTGCCTGTGATACTGATAGGCCACCAGGTTCTGCTCTTCGTCATGCCAAGCACAGTTCACATAACTGGGATTGAGACAGGCGAAAGGAAGGAAAACCATAAGCAATAAGTTCCCACTATGTGTCGGATCCAAGCCCAGCTCCCCTCCTGATACTGAAAACCTTAAGGCTCTGATGTTGCCCACTGCGCCATGCACTCCACTCCTGGGGGATGTTCTGTCCACATCTAAGCCCCTCTCACAATGTCCTGTGGACTCCTGTGTCCAGGTGCTGCCTAGAAAGCTCCCTCCTGCCCTCAGCGGTCTCTGTCACAGGACAGTAAGACAGGACAATAAAGCTCATTCACATTCAGTACCCCTGATAAAAGAGAGCCCCTCAAGGAAAGGGACTGGTTCGTGAGGCCAAGGGGCCCATGGCCAGCCTGTAACTCGTTCGTGCTCTGCAGGCTTCAGGCCCCAGGTCTGCTTAGAACCGCTGCTAGGGTGCTTTGCTTCCTCACAGATCAACGGTCCCTTGTTTTAGTCTATCCTGGCACTGTGAACTTCTCAAAAATGGGGAAATTATAGTTAAATATTGCTAAAATCAATTGTTTCATGTCTGCCTGCAGTAAGTTGTCCCTAAGGACCAGGGTTGTGTGATCTGTGTCAGTAATGAATCCCACTGTCTAAATAAGTGTTCATTAGATAAATTAGAAATGTGAATCCATTGTCCCCAGTAAATCTCATCTCCTCAAGGTTTTTTCCAGGGCTCAAAGTTTGTCTAGCATAGAGACATACATTTTGAGGACATGTGCTATATTTTATCTCCTTTTTTCCTAAAGTCTCTTGGTACGAAAGAACTCTGTGTGGAGAAAAAAGAGGAACAAGGGGCTGAGGGGGATCATCAAGGGAGGCTTGATGAGAAGGGGACTAGGGGCTTGTGGTCAATGAGTGTCCTGTCTGGAACCCAGGGACTGACCGGCCTTACCTCATCCAGTTGGCCTGGGATTTGTACTTTCGATCCACCATTTATTTATTTCTTTGGGTACATACCAGAAGAGGGATTTTTGGGTTACGGGGTAACTCTATCCTTCATTTTTTCAGGCCTATCTCCATACTATTTTCCACAGTGGCTGTGCCAATTGACATCCTCAGCAGCAGTGTATGAGGGTTCCATTTTCTGCACAGCCGCTCCTACACTTGTTATTATTTGTTTTGTTGATAATAGCCATTCTAAATGGTGTGAGGTGGTATCCCATTGTGGTTTTTCTATGCATGTCCCTAATAGCGAGTGAAGCAGAGCTTGTTTTCATATATTTCTTGCCCATTTGTATGTCTTCTTGGAAAAGTGTCTGGGTAGGTCTGCTTCCCATTTTTAAATTGGATTTGTTTTTTAATTGTTGAGTTGTATGAGTTCTCTTTTTAGTTTTTTTTTCAGTTTCAGTTGATATTGAGTATTATTTTATATAAGTTCCAGATGTCTTAGTGGTTAGACATTTATGTCAATTTATACAGTGATCTCTCCGATCATCATTTGCTGTGCAATGTCTGTCTTTTTGTGTCATGTCTGTCTGTTTTGAAATTATTAGGGTGATGGTACCCTAATAAAAATGAATTTGTGAGCTTTTCTTTTTCGTGCATTTTTTTGAATAAGCAGATGAGAAGGATAGGCCTTAATTCTTATTTGAATATTTGGTAAAATTCACCTGTGAAGCCATCTGGTGCAGGACTTTAGTTTGTTGGGAGTTTTCTGATTACTGATTTGATTTCATTGCATTACTAGTAATTGGTTACTTCAGATATTCTGTTTCTTTCTTTTTTTAAAAAAAATTGGGGAATTGGGGAAGGGGAACAGTGTTGGGAATTGGGGAGAGGGACCAGCCAAGTTGTTCTTCAATCTTGGAGGGTGCCAGTCGCCATGTGGCTGCCAAACAGCAGCTCGTGAACTCTAAGCTCAAGGTGCTCGGCTCAATCTCAGTTGCAGGTGCGCATAGCCACCATCCCATGTGGGAGTCGAACCGGCAGCCTTGTTGTTAACAGCGCACACTCTACCCATTGAACCATCCAAGTGGCAGCTCAACTCAAGGTGCAGAGTTCAGTCTTAGGTGCAGCAGGGTGAAGCCCACCGTCGCACAGGCAGTCTTGTTGTTAAGAGCATGTACTCTCACCAGCTGAGCCATCCTGCCACCTGTTGGCAGCTGAATGGCAGCTCAATTCGGGCACACAGTCACTGTTCCATGTAGGAATCAAACCGGCGGCCATGTTGCTCAGAGCGCAATGCTCTTACGCTAACCCTGAATCAACTGAGCCGCTCGGCCGGCCCGAGAATATTACTTTCATTGTTGGACTTACACCACTGAGTGTAAACTCCACGAGGGCAGGGACTTTGTTAGACTCACTGTTGATCGCACTATGTCTATGGTCGTACCTGGCACATAGAAGACATTCACAAAAATTTGTCACATGAATATGTGAATGACAAATAACTAATCAATTCACTAAAGTCTGAAAAGTGCTTTGAAGTTGAAGTACAGTGTGCAATAGGAGTGTCTAACAGGGTTGCTGGGCTGAGCCAGAAGTGGGGGTAAGGCTTCTTCTCTGAGGAAGCTCAGTTCTACAGGGTGACTTGGCATCAATCAGCTTGGCAAAAAGCTGGAAAAGTATTCGATACAAGGGACACAGTACAATGTCCCCAAATACCCTAAGACAGGAGAGAGCACAGATGCTGGAGGGAATGAGAGTTGTTTACGTGTGGGTGGAATGGGTGACGGAGGGGATAGTGGTGTTGAGAAAGAACCAATCCCACTTGGGATGCTGTCAGGAAGGACAGAGCCCACTTGCAGAGCCTAGGGTGCCACTGACAAAGACAGGACACTGCTTCTTCTTTGAAGCTTAGTTGGGCAAAGGAAAAAAGCAGGGGAAGGGCTGAGAAATAACCTGGAGTTTCTCAGAAGGTCGCTAAGGGGAAACCTTGAAGAGGCCTAGGATGGGTCAGGTGCTGTAGGGATGAAGAGGACCACTAGGAGCAGCAGTGGCTTACACGATGGAGGGTAGGGGGTCCCCACGGGGATCGGAAGGCCCGGCCGCACCTTTTGGAAGGTCCTGGTAGAGTCCTGGAGAGGAATCCGAAGGAAAAATGGCTGATTGGACCTAGAGTCCGCACCGGGAAGAAAGGGTCCTGTGGGGGTGTTGGAGGAGTTTGGGAAGTAGGAGCTACCGGGAATGGAGCCAGTGGAGAAGCGGACAGATGTGTTCCCGGGATCAGGATAGAGATCCTCGAGGAAAGCGAGATTCTGTTAGGATGGCGTGCATAGACTGGGTCGGGGGGAGCTCTGGGGGTGATCTCTGGGATGAGAAAGTCTGGGGCAGAACTATAGTTATGGGAGTCAGGAAAGGGACTGTGAAGGAAGGGGATGTGCTTTCCTTCTGCTGTCCGGTCCTAGCCCATCTCCTGAAACCTGGGGTCTGGGACCCCATTTCAAGGGGGTTTGGTGGGTTTCTGTGCACGAGGGTCCAGGACGAGGTTGGGCGTGCAGTCTCTCATGTCCACCAGTTATTGAGAATCCTGTGCCTGAGCCCAGGAACCTTCACACAGCAGGCCGCAGGCACCCTGAGCGATAAGGGCCCACCCCGCTCCTTCCCTCCCTGAGGTGGGCAGAGATAGCGGCTGGAACTTTCATTGTGACGCCTTCTCAGAGACCATGGTATTAGATAATTTAGGCCACGCCTCCACTGCTGCTGCCTAGCACCCGCGGTCCCTCCTTTTGTGGCTCAGCCTCGCAGTTGTGCGGTGGTAGCTGGAAGTACTCAGAACCGGGTGTCCGGATCTCGCTGCAATGGTCCCACCTCCCCCGCCCATGCGATCCCAGGTGTGGGAAGAAACACTACTACTGGCCGGGGCAAGAAACAGGTAAAACGTGCCGGGTCACACTCCCTTGGACCCGTTGGCTCCCCACGAAAATATTCTCACCAGTACCCCCCGCCCCAAAGTCCACGCCCCACCCCGGCAGCCCATTCCCCGCCCTGACTCTTGGCTCCTGGGTGACTTTGGGCTGGTAACGACCGGAACTCCCGGCTGGGCCCTAGCTTCCTTGCCGCCCAAGGGCGACCGCTTGGGCTCCCTGACCTCTGTAGGCTCCCTGGACTCACATTAGCTAAGGACGTCGGTCCTGGGGGCCCTGCGCTCCCTTCTCCCACGGCCAGAGTGGCGACTCAGGCCTCCATAGGGAAGAGTGGAATGTGTAGTTACGTCACAATCACCCTCAGAACCGTCTTTCCAGCCGTGAAGTGGGTGTTCAATGACTTAGTCCCCTAGTGTTTTTCCCTCCCTGTCCGTTTTCTGGGGTTGCAGCACAGATTTGCAGCTTGAAGGGGACTCTGGGTTATGGGACCTAAGTCAGAGAGGTTTCAGGCTTACTGTAGACTGTACCCCATCCTTTAGACACTGACAGCGTAAAAAGCCTCCCTTTCATCTGTGATCTGAAAATGTTGACCACATCTTTGGGTGGCAATGGGGAGAATGTGTTTAGTTTGGTTTTCCCTCATTTCTACTTCCCAGAGAGAGTTCCTCAATTTTCATTTGAGTTCTCCACTTCACAGTCTAATCATGTACTATGATCCTGAGATCAAAGTGGCCCTCAGTCAGCGCTCTTTGGTGTGAGATCTCCTTATCCTCTGTGGAGCGGATCCTGTGAACCTGCGGTTCACAGCTGGGAAGCTTCCCCAATTCATCATCTAATGTGTAGTGAGGGAACTACACATTCCACTCTTCCCTATGGAGGCCCGAGTCGCCACTACAGCCATGGGGAAAGGAAGCGCAGGGACCCCAGGACCCACGTCCTTAGCTACTGGGAGTCCAGGGAGTCTACGGAAGTCAGGGAGCCCAAAAGTTCGCCCCTGGTCAGCAAGGAAGCTAGGGCCGAGCCAGGAGTTCCGGGCATTACTAGCACAAAGTCACTTGGGGGGGGGCAAGGGTCAGGGCGGGGAATGGGCTGCCGGGGGGCGGGGGGTACTGGTGAGAAGATTTTGGTGGGGAGCCAACGGGTCCAAGGNAATCTAGGGCCAAGCCGGGAGCCCCATGGCTTACCAGCCCAAAGTCACCCGGGAGCCAAGAGCCAGGGCGGGGAATGGGCTGCCGGGGTGGGGCGGGGGGTACTGGTGAGAAGATTTTGGTGGGGAGCCAACGGGTCCAAGGTACCTGCTACCCGGCACGTTTTACCTGTTCTCCCCCAGGCCAGTAGTGTTTCTTCCGACACCCGGGGTCGCAGAGTCGGGGGAGGCGGGACCATTCCAGCAAAGTCCCGACACCCGATTCCGAGGACTTCCAGCAACCACCACACAACTGCGAGGCTGAGCCAGAAAACGAGGGACCGTGGGTTCTAGGCAGTAGCGTTGGGGGCATGGCCTAAATTCTCTAATACCATTGGTCTCTGAGAAAGGCATCACAATGAAAGATGCAGCCGCTGTCTCCGCCCACCTCAAGGAGGGGAGGGGCGGGACCTTCTCGCTCAGGTGCGTGCAGCCTGCTATGTGAAGGTTCCTGGGCTCAGGCACAGGATTCTCACTAACTGGCAGACCTGAGAGACCACACACCCACCCTCATCCTGGAACCTCCTGCACAGAAACCCACCCTACCCCCTTGAAACGGGGTCCTGGGCCCCAGGTTTCAGGAGATGGGCTAGGACCGGACAGCAAGGGGAAAGCACATCCCCTTCACAGTCCTTTTCCTGATTCCCATAGGTCTTCCCCAGACTTCTAGTCCCAGAGATCACCCCCAGAGACCCCCGAACCAGTCTACGCATGCCATCCTATCTCTCTTTCCTCGAGGATTTTATCCTGATCCCGGGAACACATCTGTCTGCTTCTCGACTGGATCCGGTCCTGGTAGCTCCTACTTCCCAAACTCCTCCAACACCCCCACAGTACCGTTTCTTCCGGGGTCGGACTCTAGGTCCAATCAGCGATTTTTCCTTCGGGTTCCTCTCCAGGACTCCACCAGGACTTTCCAAAAGGTGCGGCTGGTCCTTCCGATCTCCCAGGGGCCCCCTTACCACCCAGTGTATAAGCCACTGCTGTTCATAGCGGTCTTCTTCATCCCTACAGCAGCGGACCCATCCCCAGCCCTATTCAAGGTTTCTCCTTATCGACCGTCTGAGAAACTCCAGGTTATTTCTCAGCCCTTCCCCTGCTTTTTTCCTGTGCCCAACTGAGCTTCCAAGAAGAAGCAGTGTCCTGTCTTTGTCAGTGGCACCCTAGGCTCTGCAAGTGGGCTCTGTCCTTCCTGACAGCACCCCAAGTGTAATTGGTTCTTTTTCAACACCACTATACCCTCCCTCACCCATTGCACCCACACGTAAACCACTCTCATTCCCTCCAGCATACGTGCTCTCTCTTGTCTTAGGGCATTTGGGGACATTGTACTATCCCGTGTGTTGAATACTTTTGCAGCTTTTTGCCAAGCTGATTGATACCAAGTCACCCTGTAGAACTGAGCTTCCTCAGAGAAGAAGCCTTACCCCCACTTCTGGCTCAGCCCAGCAACCCTGTTAGACACTCCTGTCGCACACTGAACTTCAACTTCAAAGCACTTTTCAGGCATGTAGTGAGTTGATTAGTTACTTGTCATTCACATATTCATATGAGAAATTTTAGTGAATGTCTTCTATGTGCTGGGTACTACTGTAGACATAGCACAATCAGCGGTGAGTCTAACAAAGCCCCTGCCCTCGTGGAGTTTACAATCAGTGGTGGAAGGCCTATGATTAAAATAATATTCTCGGGCCGACCGAGCGGCTCAGTTGGTTCAGGGTTAGCGTAAGTGCATGCGCTCTGAGCAACATGGCCGCTGGTTCGATTCCCAAATGGACCAGTGGCTCTGTGCCTGAGTTGAGCTGTCACTCAGCTGCCAACAGGTGGCAGGATGGCTCAGCTGGTGAGAGCATGTGCTCCTAACAACAGACTGCCTGTTCGATGGTGGGCTTCGCCCTCCTGCAATTAAGACTGAACTCTGCACCTTGAGTTGAGCTGCCGCCTGGATGGCTCAGTGGGTAGAGCGTGTGCTCTTAACAACAAGGCTGCCGGTTCGACTCCCACATGGGATGGTGGCTATGCCCACCCTCACCTGAGAGTGAACCGAGTACCTTGAGCTTAGAGGCCATGAGCTGCTGATGGGCAGCCACTTGGCGACTGGCACCCTCCAAGACTGAAGAACAACAACTTGGCTGGTCCCCCTCCCCAATTACCCAACACTGTTCCCCTTCCCCAGTTCCCCAATTTAAAGAAAAAAAGAAGCAGAATATATGAACTAACCAATTACTAGTAAAGAAATGAAATCAAATCAGTAATCAGAAAACTCCCAACAAACAAAAGTCCTGCACCAGACGGCTTCACAGGTGAATTTTACCAAATATTCAAATAAGAATGAGCGCCTATCCTTCTCAACTGCCTATTCAAATAAATGCACGAAAAAGAAAAGCTCACAAGTTCATTTTTATTAGGGTACCATCACCCTAATGATTTCAAAACAGACGGACATGACACAAAAAGACAGACATTGCACAGCAACAGATGATCGGAGAGATCACTGTATAAATGACATACATGTCTAACCACTAAGACAAATGGAACTTATATAAAATAACACTGAATATCAACTGAAACTGAAAAAAAACAAACTAAAAAGAGAACTCATACAACTCAATAATTTAAAAAAGTCCAATTTAAAAATGGAAAGCAGACGTAACCAAACAGTTTTCCAAGATGACATACAAATGGCCAAGAAATATATGAAAAAAAATGCTCAACTTCACTAGCTATTAGGGAAATGCATAGAAAAACCACAATGAGATACCAACTCACACTTTTTAGAATGGCTATTATCAACAAAACAAGTAATAACAAGTGTAGGAGCGGCTGTGCAGAAAATGGAACCCTACTACACTGCTGCTGAAGATGTCAATTGGCACAGCCACTGTGGAAAGTAGTATGGAGTTAGGCCTGAAAAGATGAATAACAGAGTTACCCGATAACCCAAAAATCCCTCTTCTGGTATGTACCCAAAAAAGAAATAAATGGGAGCCCCCATTTCTGGAGATGCTATCATTTCTCCCCAGGCTACACATTCACAGGCCTACATTACTGGAGTAGAAAATTCAAGTGCGAAACAGTTCCTGATAAAGAGGGTTTAAAAACAATAAGGGGCTATGGGATGCTGGTCTTCACTTCCAGGAGAAGGAGGGATGTGGGCACAGGTCCCTAGTGTCAAAACTCAGCTTCGGACTCCTCTGGACCTGTGCTGCCCTCCCCGTGCTTCTCGGCATCTCCTCTGAACTGACAAGGTGAGTCATGGCACCCATGGGTACCTGGCCGCCTGGGTGTGAGCAGTCCTGATGATTGAAACATGACACCAGCCAGCAGGGCTGTCCCAGCCTCTCTCCCCATGCCCATCTCCTGCAGGATCTGGTGCCACTTCTGCCCTACTCCTCTGGCCTGGCAGTTGTCCCTCAAGAAAGTCAATTAATTCAAGAGGCAGTACCAACATCACATCCGGAAAAGGTCAACACCAAGCTCCCCACGTTTCTGGCAAAGACTATGTGAGCTCATAATCCTGTCATTACCTGAACCATGCCCTTGGCCTGGCACTCCCATTTCCCCCTCTCTCCACAGGGATAAATGTTTCCTACCTCTCACCTTCAAACTGGACTCAAATGCCACCCCCTGCAGCCTCAAGTCCACTTTAAACCAATCTCTCCCTCGTTGCGCCTTTGGAATGTTCCCACATCCTAGCTTGCCTCTTTCCTCCCTCAGTGGACATTCTCTCCGGTTCCCCTGATGTCTCCCGCATCTAGCCTAGGACCTCTGCTACCAATGGCCCGCTGAATATGGTTAAGTGTCCAGATGATTTGTAAAACAGACTGGGGGCAGGATGTCCTGGTCCTCCACTGCTTGCTTAACCTCACATTTTTACAATGACTTTCTCTGAAAAATAATCTCAATCCTTTTAATTGTAAAGCAAACCTCCTTTCTCTTATCCCTAGTTTGCCAACTCACAAACCAAGATGAATTACTCAACTGGAAAAATCACAAAATGCTCTGTGGTCTATTGGTCTTTTCGGGACAGATGCCCACAGGACAAGACCTGAAGGTTTAGTTTTATTTAATCTCTCCTACTCTGAGATTCAAACTTGAGGCTCACAAACCCAAATCCCACACACCTGGCTCTGGAAGCTATTCCGAAACTATTTGCAAACTTCAAGGTACATCTCACCTTCTCCAAGATAAAAGGTGTCAGGGGAGAAACACAAAACTCTATTGACCAAGCAGGTGAGAAAGCAGACGCGAAGAGGCCGGGGAGGGTGAATGACAGCAACACAAAATAAGCCAGATGCAAAATATCCCTGAAACCAGGGAAGCCTTGGGGGCGTGAAGAGCATACAGAGAGCGAGCCAAATAGGGGACTTGGCATGCCTCACCTTCCCCTCGTTCAATGGGGGCAGCACGACCCCATTGGAATGGTTAAGGTAGGACACCAGCACCTTCAGAATGTCCTGAATCTACAGAAAGCAGAAAGGGGAAAACAAGGGCAGGTACAGAGAGAGAAAAGTGGCTTGGAGAGAGGTAATAGGGGCAGGGAAGCAAGAGGAGATGGGTTCCGGGAAACAGAACGCTGAAGGAGAGAGAAGGTCAACACCACAGCCTGTGCCATCTTTCCAAACAGCCACTTTGCTGCCTTGCCAGAGGCAGAAATCAATGCCAAGGAACAAATGGAAAACTCCCCTGAACGATGCACTCACAAAGAGTGCAGTTGCCTGACCAGTGAATATGCCCATTAGACCCTATCCTTGGCCCAGCCTGCTAGACACGATCCTGGCCGGGCTCCAGAACCTCATCATCTCCATTTGAAAACCAGACTTCCAAGTAACGGTTTGCTTGAACAAAGGGTATTACCGTTAAAATATAAGTTTGAAAAACATTATCTGATTGTACAGATGAGGAAACCGAGGACCAGGGAAGGAAGTGCTTTTCCTGAGATCAGCAAGCAAGCTGGTGGCAGAGGTGGACTCGAAACTCCTAATCCAGTGCCTGGGGCTCTACCCTCACTATACCCAGGGGCTGCTTTGGTGCTTCCTAAAGCAAGAGCCTGAAGGCAAGTGGCTTCCCCTTGAGGCTGGGGATATTGAAAACCACCAGAAGAGTAAGTCCAGTAGTGACTACCCATTACTGAATGTTTAGTCTTCACCAGGCTCTGTGTTAAGGGATTACTATAAAAACAACAATCTCATTTAAACTTCTTAAGATTAAAACTGTATTTACCTGGGTTTTACTGATGTGGAAACAGAGACTCAAAGAGCGTAAAATATTTTCCCCAAACCAGACCCCCAGCAGAGGGAGACACAGGATTTAAACCCAGAATTCTTAACCTGTACCTGGTTAGATTATTCCACAATCTATCCACTACCCTCTAGTCCTCTGAGCACTCCTATCCCCAGTAGCTTGGCCAGCTGAGACTCACCTCCTCGGGCAAGTGACAACCACAGAAGTGGTTGTCTCAGGGTTACTTCCATGTTTATTCTTCCTTTTCTTCTTAGCTTCTGAATAAACACCAAGCTTGTTCTTCTTCAGACATTCTGTCTGCTGAAGACAGTAAAAGTAGTGAGACTCACAAGAAGTATATTCACACCCTGTATTCACACCCTTCTTGACAGTTTACAAAATACTCATATTTGACATTTGATTTAATGCCACAACACTACAAGGTGTTGTAATACTCACTTCATGACTGCAGAAATGGACAGATCACATAGTTTTTTTTAAAAGCAATCATGGAATTTAAATTCAGGGTTTATGCCATAAATCAGTGGCTTCCAGGGGCGCAACATCAGAGGCAGAGGTGGAAAAGGAAACATTTAAGTGATCAGACACACGGGTCCTTTCTCATACATCTGTTCGAGATGCACACCGGTACGTCTCAAACTCTGACATCAATGTAGCCCAATGGCAGAAGGCAGCTGAACACACACCCCTAGTTAATTTGGGATGGTAACAAAGAAAACACAACTCAAGCACCATTTCAGAGAGGAGTCTATTAAAATCTTACAAATCTATGGAAACGTCATCTTTAAGTATACTGATACAAAAGGGTTTTTCTCTCTCAAGAGACTCCAGCAAAACCGATGCTTCAGTCCCTTTTTTATCCTGTGGCACTCAGAGCCCCCTATGTTTAGATGATGACTTGAAGAAGATTCCCAGCGGTGAACCGCAGGTTCATGGGATCCGCTCTGCAGAGGATCAGTAGATCTCACACCAAAGAGCGCTGACTGAGGGCCAATTTGATCTCAGGATCATAGCACATGATTAGACCGTGAAGTAGTGAACTCAAATTAAAAATGAGAAACTCTCTCTGGGAAGTACAAATGGGGGAAAAGCAAACTAAACACAGTCTCCCCATTGCCACCCAGAGATTAGGTCAAGGTTTTCAGATCACAGGTGAAAGGGAGGCTTTTTACACTGTCAGCATCTAAAGGATGGGGCACATTCTACAGTAAGGCTGAAACCTCTCTGACCTAGGTCCCATAGTCCAGAGTCCCCTTCAAGCTGCAAATATGTGCTGCAACCCCAGAAAAGGGAAAGGGAGTGAAAAACACTAGGGGACTAGGTCGTTGAACACCCGCTTCGCGGCTGTAAAGACGGTTCCGAGGGTGATTGTGACGTAACTACATATTCCACTCTTCCCTAGAGAGGTCCGCGTCGCCACACCGGCCATGGGGGAAGGGAGCACAGGGCCCCCGGAACGAGGTCCTTAGCAATTGGTAGTCCAGGGAGCCTACAGAGGTCAGGGAGATCAACTGTTCACCCTTGGGTGGCAAGGAAGCCAGGGCCGAGTTGGGAGCCCCGGGGGTTACCAACCCAAAGTCACCTGGGAGCCAAGAGCCAGGGATGGGACTGGGCTGCTGGGTGGGACGTGGGCTTTGGAGTTCCGGGTACTGGTGAGAAGATTCTGGTGAGGAGCCAACGGGTCCAAGGGAGCTGCGACCTGGCACATTTTACCTTTTTCTTGCTCCAGCCAATTTCTTCCATAGTGTTTCTTCCGACATCCTGGGTCGCGGTGTCGGAGGAGTCGGGACCATTCCAGAGAGATCCCGACACCTGGTTCAGATTACTTCCTGCGACCACCGGGCAACTGCGAGGCAGAGCCAGAAAATGAGGAGCCGGGGGTTGCTAGGCAGCAGCGGTGTGGGCGTGGCCTAAATTCTCTAATACCATTGGCCTATGAGAAATGCATCACAATGAAAGATGCAGCCGCTGTCTCCTCCACTTTCAGGGAGTGGAGGGGCGGGGCCTTTTCGCTCAGGGTGCATGCAGTCTGCTGTGTGAAGGTTTCTGGGCTCAGGCACAGGATTCTGATGAACTGGAGGACCTGAGAGACCGCACGCTCACCCACGTCCTGGACCCTCCAGCACAGAAGGCCACCCCTCCCCTTTGAAACAGGGTCCCGGACCCCAGGTTTCAGGAGATGAGCTAAGACTGCACAGCCAGGAGAAACACATCCCCTTCACAATCCCTTTTAGTGACTCCCAAAGGTCTGCCCCAGACTTTCTCGTCCCAGAGATCACCCCCAGAGACGCCGACCCAGTCTATGCACGCCATCCGATCAGAGTCTCTCTGTCCTAGAGGATCTCTATCCTGATCCCGGGAACATATCTGTCCGCTTCTCGACTGCATCCAGTCCCGGTAGCTCCTACTTCTCAAACTCCTCCAACACCCCCACAGTACCCTTTCTTCCCAGTGCGTTCTCTAGGTCCAATCAGCCATTTTTCCTTTGGATTCCTCTCCAGGACTCCACCAGGACTTTCCAAAAGGTGCGGCCGGGCCTTCCGATCCCCCTGGGGCCTCCCTCTCCTCCACCGTGGAAGCCACTGCTGCTCCTAGTGGTCCCCTTCAACCCTACAGCAGCTGACCCATCCCCAGCCCTCTTCAATGTTTCCCCCTAGCGACCTTCTGAGAAACTCCAGGTTATTTCTCAGCCTTTCCCCTTCTTTTTTCCTGTGCCTATCTAAGCTTCAAAGAAGAAGCAGTGTCCTTTCTTTGTCAGTGGCACCCCAGGCTCTGCAAGTGTGCTCTGTGTTCCTGATAGCACCACAAGTGTGACTGGTTCTTCTTCAACACGACTATCGCTTCCCTCACCCATTCCACCCACACATAAACCACTCTCATTCCCTCCAGCATCCGTGCTCTCTCCTGTCTTAAGGCATTTGGGGACATTGTACTGTCCCGTGTCTCAAATACTTTTCCAGCTTTTTGCCAAGCCGATTGATGCCAACTCACGCAGTAGAGTTGAGCTTCCTCAGAGAAGCCTTACCCCCACTTCTGGCTCAGCCCAGCAACCCTGTTAGACACTCTTGTAGCATATTGTACTTCAACTTCAAAGCAATTTTCAGACTTGTTGTTAGTTGATTAGTTATTTGTCATTCACATATTCATATGACAAATTTTAGTGAATGTCTTCTATATGCTGGGGTCTACTGTAGACATAGTGCACTCAGCAGTGAGTGTAACAAAGTCCCTGCCCGCGTAGAGTTCACACTCAGGGGTGTAATGCTGACATTGAAAATAATATTTTCGTGCCAGCCTAGCAGCCCTGTTGGTTCAGAGTTAGCGTAAGAGCATGCGCTCTGAGCAACGCAGCCGCCCCCGGTTCGATTCCCACATGGTCCTGTGACTCTGTGCCTGAGTTGAGCTGCCACTGAGCTGCCAACAAGTGGCAGGATGGCTCAGCTGGTGAGAGCACGTGCCCCTAACAACAAAACTGCCTGTTCCATGGTGGGCTTTGCCCTTCTGCAACTAACACTGAACTCTACAGCTTGAGTTGAGCTGCCGCCTGGATGGCTCAGTGGGTTGAACGTGCACTCTTAACAACAAAGCTGCCGGTTCCACTCCCAATGGGATGGTGGCTATGCCCACCCGCAACTAAGTTTGAACAGAGCACATTGCACTTAGAGGCCACGGGCTGCTGATGGGCAGCCACATGGCGACTGGCAACCTCCAGGATTGAAGAATAACAACTGGGCTGGTTCCCCTCCCCAATTCCCCAACACTCATCCCCTTCCCCAGTTCCCCAATTTAAAAAAAAGAAACTAACAGAATATCTGAACTAACCAATTACTAGTAATGAAATTAAATCAAATCAGTAATCAGAAAACTCCCAACAAACAAAAGTCCTGCACCAGATGGCTTCACAGGGGAATGTTACCAAATATTCAAATAAGAATTAATGTCTATCCTTCTCAAATGCCTATTCAAAAAAAGGCAGGAACAAGGAAAGATCACAAGTTCATTTTTACTAGGGTACCATCACCCTAATAATTTCAAAACAGACAGACGTTACCCAAAAAGAAAAGTATGGACCAATATCCATGAAGAATCTTGATGCAAAAAAGTTTCAACAAAATATTAGTAACACAGATTTGGCAATACATGAAAAAGATCATACCCCATGACCAAGTGTGATTTATTCCTGGGATGCAAGTTTGGTTCAATACCCACAAACAAATAACATAATGCACCACATAAAAAAATGAAAGATACAAATCATACCAATAGATGCAGAAGAAGATTTTTGCAAAATCCAGCATTGATTTATAAGAAAAACATTCAGTAAAGTTGGAATAGAGGGAACATATCTCAACATAAGAAAAACGTTGTATGACAAACCTAAGGCTAACATCATTCTTAACAGGGAAAAGCTAACAGCATTCTCCGTAAGATCAGGAATAAAAGAAGCAAGCTGTGTGTCACTGCTTTTATTCCACATAGTATTGTAACTCCTGGCCACAGCCACCAGACAAGAACATGAAATAAAAGGCATCCAAATGGGAAAGGAGGAAAGAAAACTGTCCTTATTTGTAGATGACATGACACTATATAGAGAGAACCTGAATGATTCCACTAAACAAAGTATTAGAGCTAATAAGTGAATTCAGTAAATTAGTAGGATGCAAAGTTAATATTCAGAAATTGGTTGCATTTTATTACACGAATAATGAACTGTCAGCAAGGGACCTTAAGGTAACAATCCTCCTTACAATTACATTTTTTTAAGAAAAGATAAGCTACTTAAGAATAAATTTAATGAGAGTGAAAAGACATGTACTTGGAAAACTATCAGACACTGAAGAAGAAAATGAAAGTAGATACAAATAAATGGAAGTGTATACCATACTTATGAATCGGAAGAAATACCACCATTAAAATTCCGTACGACCCAAAGCAATCTAGACATTCCATGCAATCCCTATCACACACCAATGGAATTTTTTACAGAAATGGAACAAATAATATTAAAATGTATATGGAACCACAAAAGACCCTGAATAACAACAGCAATTTTGAGAAGGAAGAATAAAGTTGGTGGTTCCATGCTACTTGATAGCAAACAATGCTAAAAGCCTGTAGGAATCAAAACAACATGGTACTGGCATTAAAACAGACACATAGATGAATGGAACAGAACAGACTGCCAAGAAATAAACCCAAGCCTATATGGTCATTTAATCTATGACCATACATGATGTAAGAATATACAACTGGGGAAATGACAGTGTCTTCAATAAATGGTGTTGGAAAAACTAGACAGATACATGCAAAAAGATACAAGAAACTAGCGCACCTTCTTACACCGTATAAAAGAAAAAACTCAAAATTGATTAAAGACTTAAAATGAAGACCCGAAACCAAAAAGCTCGTAGAAGAAAACATAGGCAGTAAATTCTCTGACGTTACCCTTAAAGATATTTTTTTTCTGATTTATCTCCTCGGGGAAAGGCAGTAAAAACAAAAATAAACAAATGAGACTACATCAAACTAAACAGGTTTTGCATAGCAAAGGAACCATCAAGTAAACGAAAGGAGGGTTGGCCGATTGGCGAGTTGGTTAGGAGTTACAAGTACTACCAGACAGGTTCACAACGTCTCTCTGAAGAGCAGACTGTTTTGGGGCCCGTACTCCCGCTTTCTAGTATTTCCTTTGCCAGTCTCCAGTAACTTTCTGTAGTGTGGACCCCGGGGGGTCCGCCGAGCCACCCATGTCCCTGAAAACACTAAAACTGTCCTGAAACCAAACACCGTCCCTGACCCGAACACTAAATTATAACTATCCCACCTCAGCGAACCCTAAAAACATATCCCTATTATTTCCTTCCCTCTAAAATTAAAACTACTCACACCTCTCCTTTACCCCTGTTTTGAACCCAAAAATCCATAGAGTATCACCTGCCCAGAACCCGGAGCTGTCCCCCACAAATCAAACCCTAGCCCTACCCCACCCCAATGCCCCCCGAAAACAAACATAAATCATAACACTGTGCCAAGTCTGAGGGAATTACCAAGAAGTGGAAAATTGCTGAGTCATCCTTAGCTAGCCTGATGCAACACAGCTCAGCACCCTACAAGTTTCTGCCTCCATAAGCGTGGCTATATATAAATGAATGAGGGCTGCCAGACTGGTTCACAACGTCTCTCCCAACAGGGGACAGTTTTGGGCACCTGCTCCCACTTTCTAGTATTTCCTTTGCCGGTCTCCACTAACTTCCTGTCGCGCCCACTCTGGGCAGTCCGACGAGGCAGCCATGTCCCTAAAAACACTGAAACTGTCCCGAACCCGAACACCGTCCCTGACCCCATCCCTGAATTATAACTATCCCACTTCAGCGAACCCTAATATCCTGTCCCTTTTTTTTCCTTCCATCTAAAACCTTAACGCTACACACACCTCTCCCTTTCACACTGTTTTGAACCTAATAATCCAAAGAGTATCCCCTCTCAGGAACCCTAAGTATGTCCCCCAGAATCCAAACACTCGCCGTATCCGTCCCCTATGCCACCCAACCCCAAACATATAGGGTAACCCTGAGCCGTGGCTGAGGGACCCAACCAGGAAGTGGAAAATTGCTGAGTCATCCTTAGCTAGACTGCCCAACACACCTCAGCGCCCTCCCCGTTACTGCCCCCGCAAAAGCAATGCTATATGTAAACGAACTAGTGCTGCCAGACGTGTTCACAAAGTCTCTCCCAAGAGCAGACAGTTTTGGAGCCCGTATTCTGGCTTTCTAGTATTTCCTTTGCCAGTCTCCGTTAAATTCCTGTCGCGCCCACTCCAGGCGGTCTGACTAGGCAGCCATGTCC